AATGACTTTATGGGTTTAGACATTAATTATAGCTTAGATCTGGGATTTGGACTGGTGGGATAAAGTATTAAGCACTTAAGTGATTTTGGGGATAAGCTGATTGTACGTTGGGCGTACTATGTAGTACGTTGTGCATACAATCTATTTGCCCAGTACGCTAAGCGTATAAAATAGGTATGTTGGGCGCATGCTCTCAGGAGGACATGGGCCTTAATGGACTTCGGACCTTTGGGCCCTAATGGTTTTTGGCCTGGATTTGCGGTTTTTTGGGTCTGAATGTATCTTGGGCCAATATTGGAATAGTTGGGCCTATTGGGCCTTATGGCCCAATATAGAAATGGATTTCACATTTGTAGGCATCGGTTTGGGCCAATCCTTGGATTAGATTGTTGTGCGCCTTCATGGGCCAATTGGGGACAAGATTATTGACTAAGGAGAATATTGAGCTTTATTATAAGGTCCATTAGAAATGTCCGGGCCCAATTTGGAAAATTGGGCCTTTGATGGCTTTATGGACATTATAATTTTTGGCTTTTGTTTTGGTTTGGGCCTTAGTTTTAGAACATACTAGGCCAGGGGTAAAATGGTCATTTTACCCCATGCAGGGATTAAGGATTATAGTATGGGACCCAATTGCTAATTGTGTGTATTGATTTGTAGTGACAACTCGGGAAGCTGCCGGGGTAGTAGCTAATGAATTCATGTGGGAAGCTTCTACAGTGCGAGGTGAGTCTTCTCACCATACCAATGGGTCTAAGGTACCAAGGCCGGCCCATTTATTTAGTGGTGATGATTATTGTGAAAGTGTTATCGATACATTATGTATTATGTATGTGACCATGTGGGGGTTCCCATGGCAATTAGTTATATGTTATATGGTAGTTGACTGTTACGTATTTGATATGCTAGTTGTCTTTGTGATGCATGCATGGAAGACCCTGGGAGGTTCCTGTGGCAGTGGATTGTGACCATGTGGGGGTTCCCATGGCACATGGTATAAGACCCTGGAAGGTTTCCATGGCATCCCAGTACGTTTATTTTGCATGATTTGTATTTGGTAGTAGAGACCCCCCCCCCCGGGGGGGGGGGGGGTGGGGGAGTCCCGTTGCAGTGGATTGTGACCATGTAGGGGTTCTCATGGTACATGGTATAAGACCTTGGAGGGTTTTCATGGCAACCCATATGTTTGTATGCATGGCTTATGTGATATATGTTGCTTTTATAGCTAATATGGTATATGTTATGTGGACTGAGTGTGGGCTATGCTTTGGGGGACCCACTAGGCTTTGTGCTTACGTTTTGCATTTTTGGTTTCAGGTATCACCAATTTGGAAAAGATGAGCTCAGATTGATCGCAGTGCACACACCTATGATTTCCGCAATGAATGATTTTGGGATAAACTCTGATAATTAATTTATTTAATGATGATTTGAAATGTTTGAAATAAATGGTATCAATGTTTTAGCTATATTAAAAATGAATTTTTACCCTTCATTTTTGGGTCGTTACAAGTTGGTATCATAGCCTTGGTTTGAGGGATTCGGACATACTTTCGGGTGTGTCTGAACTTAAACTGAGGATCTATAAAGTTTTCAAAAGGAAAAATGTTTTCAAGGAAAAAGTTTTCTAAGACAAGAAAGGGTGTGGTGCATGCAATCTGTTGAGCTTAAGTAGGTTTCCCCAGAATACCCATATATGTTATCTGTTATGACTAGATTTGTGAATCTGAGAATCGCATGCTAGTTATGGCTAGGAGAGATGCCTTTATATACTGTATGAGTAGGTAGACTTGCATGCTAGTGTTGAGCAATCAGCGATAGATTGGCCAGATATGTGATGCTTGTAGCCTTGGGAATACTGTATACCATGCTAGAATGAGAATGATTATTGATATTGGTAACTACTAAGTGTATGCTTTTAAAATTGTATACGGTTAGGATCTTATAGCCTTATAATAATTTATTTGGCCTTATTTCCTATTCCTCGTTTGTTTGTGGTCCTTGGGTAGAGTCTATTATTCGACAGTCTATTAGATCCTGTTCTGTGTATAATTTGTATGCATAAGGCAGCCGACAGTGAAGATGGATGGATGTGTATAGCATGATTTGCGATATGTAGGTTGAATGTTCTACGATAGTCCGTTGAATTAGAGTGCTACAATATGAATGTTGCTTGCTTTGTGCTTTGTGGAACTATTGAGTAATGGGAGTCAGCTACTAAGTGGATATGAAGATATCCAAGAGGTGGATGACTGGCATCATGGGTAGTTCTTCAGCAGTTGAAGACATGGTGAGGTTGGGACCTAGGAAAGCCTAGGATATGCTCTAGTGAGCTTAGTAGGGTGGTTCAGTGAAGTTGGGAACCTATGGGGAGCCTAGGGGTTACTTTAGTGGGTTGCGTTGCTGTTTAGCGGTGTTTGGTACCCCAGTGGAGTAGGTGACTTAGAGAATTCGGGAGGATTGTTGAGGAAAGTATGGATAGGCGTGGGAGGTAGTATGGGCCTATACTACTGAAAGCACAGGATCCATACTCGAATTGGTGAGAGTGTTGGATAATCTAAGAAGCATATGAGAAGGAGAACTCTTGGTTATGTTTGGAATGTGGGGATAGCTGCTTTTCCAGACGAGGATGCATACACACGAGGAAGGACTAGGGTTTTTATCCAGCTCCAGTGGTGAGCCAGTTAGTGAGGGACTGTCAGGGATATGAGTTTGCGTTGGGTTAGGGAGATGGAAAGTGTTTTCCGTTCTAGTCCCTACCCCTTAGGAGCTGAGGCTCAGTTCTCCATGGATCTCTTTTATCGTACGGATCGGATTGATGATGTGATTTATTGCGCTTTGGGATTTAAGACTATGTAATGGGAGTAGTTTGTAGCCGGTTTAGAGAAGAGGTTGCTCCAGCTATTGCAGATTTGTCGTTGATGATTGAGCTGGTGAGTGCGTCAGGGTGTAAGAACCTGAATGATATGGATCCCATAGTTGAGCGCGAAAGATTGATTAGGAGTACCTCGATGAGAGAAGTTCATGTCATGTGGATTAGTGGAGGATCTCAGGTGGAGACCCAAGAGTTCGGAGCAACTTTTGAAGAGGCCAGCAGGACGGATCCAGTGCAACGCTTACGGAAACTGCAGGATGGAGTTTTGCTCCAAGGATTTGGATTGTCATTGGTATCGGAATAAAGTGTTACATCAAGTTCTCGGGGTGGTCGAGGTAACTCAGTAGAACGTGGTCAGGATTCCTCCAGATGTTCGCGGATATGCTAGCTTCAGCCATTTCCGATGGATATCGGGAATTTATATCGCTTTGGAATTGTGATAAGTTAGATCTCGGGTTGGTTCTCTACTATTATCTGGGTTAGAAAGGGTTTTCAGATGCCATTCAACATGTTAAGGAATCTTTAAGAAATCTTCTGATGGATGTATCTCGCAGAACGGATCCCACGTGCACCGTTATTGTTCAGAGTCCCTGTCAAAAATCGGTTCAGGGGTATGGGTTGCTATAGGTACAGTAGGGTTGGTTAGGTCAACAAGGATTGCCCCCAATGGAAAGACCGTTATATTTTCGTTGTGATCAAATGGGTGACAAGGAGTTCGACTGTCTGATGATTAGGGAGGAGCGATGAGTGCACCTGCTCCAGTTATTTGGAGGATCACTGATGAATGAGAGGGTAGGTAGGAACAGAGAGGGGCCACACTTTGTAATACCATGCAGGGGAGATCGAAAATTCAGCAGGCGAGGGTGTCGGGAACGTACACTTTTTCCTTTCTTCCAGCTTTACATGTATTTGTGACGGTAATCTCACATCAGCGTGATGTAAGCATATCATGGGGTTGTTATCTCTGTTGGTGGTTGACTCACTTATCTTTAGAGAGGGTTACATGCCATTTACATACCATGAATCTTTGATGGAGTAATACTAGGTCGTCTCCTTATAAGTAGCAGGTTACCAGTGTTTGGATTTCATCTGGGGTGTAGTCGGGGTTGGTTCAAGGGCTGGTACGAGGGAGTTGTCACTAGTTTTCAGAAGACTAAGTATTTGTGTTTGGAAGAACAATCAGGATTATCGAGGGAAGAGAGAATCGTTGTTGTAGTTTGGTTAGACCATCTGTTCTTTGAACAACGATATATGAGTGTGATACCATTTAAAGCATCTGAATTCATTTATATGGTTGGGATTCAAGAGATGCTAGGTGGTTTTCGGAAGTTGTGTTGTTTTGGGAAGGGTTACTTATGGTGCACTAGTTTGCTAAGCACCAGTCGTCAGTAGGTTGATTATTGAAACGTAAGAAGGATTGATATTGGTGATGGACCCCTCAAAGCGGGCCAGAGACAAGAGAACCCCCGACAAGAGTAGCTAGCCAGCATACGCTATGACTACTAGACTGGGGGACTGGATGATGTGCCCCTAAGAGCGGGCCAGAGATAGGAGAACCCCCGGCATGGAGTTCCTAACGAAGCCTGGTCTGGCGACTCGACCGCCCTGACCGCCCGAGACGGACAAGAGGCAACCGCATGGGAAGTCCGCCCTCACCAGGGGTTGTCCTCAGCTACAGTCCAAAGATAACGGATCCAAGCGACAAAGAACATGACCAGAGCATTATCGCCTAGAGCAATCGTTGGACTGGACACAAACGTGGAGCATGGTCCTCCAATAAGGACGATGGATCTTGTCGGGGTCGTAATCCTTGTCCCTTGTATGGATCGAGGAAGATCCTTAGTATAAATGGTTGATCACTCTGCTTTGAGAGGTAAGCTATTCTCTCCCGGTCATTCACCCTCATACTTACATACTCCTCCCATTAACTTGACCATCGTAGCGTCTCTCCAGGAACTCCACCCGGAAGGCGGCTGACGTTTCTTCCCTCTTTGTGACTTCTCAGGTTCTATTCCACCGATCATCTCCTAGCAATAAAGGTGGTTCAGAGCCAGGTCACATCATTTGGTGCCATCTGTTTGTGTGACAATAGATATGAAAACCCCTTTTCTCTTTCTCCTTCAACCTAACCACGCATGACGAAGAAGACGAAGGGTGAGCCATTAGAACCACCGCATAGCCCGATACACCAGATGGCATCGTTGGAAGCAACCAACACTCTAACAACGCCATCCTCCGGTGGCCCGCCACCATCTATTGAAGCATTTCCATCCTCTGGCGACCTGCTCACATCTCTTGAAACAACGCCATTCTCTGGAGGCTCGTCACCATCTCTTGAAGCAGTGCCATCATCTGGCGACCTGCCACCACCACTTGAGGCACCACCGTCATCCGATGGTCCGCCACCGTATCCCATGAGAGCACCGTCACCAGATGACCCGCCACCCTCCGTTACAGTAATCATGTAATCGGGTTTAACATAGAGTCAAACATCGACACCCACCCTGACCCACAAAACTCCCCCACCATTCCCAAATAGCGGTGTGCCTAACCAATACATTGTAGCCCCTTTTCCGCCATTCTTCCGTTACACCACCGATTCTAGCAACCCCCAAACAGCACCCATAACGCCTTTTGTGAACAACTTACATACAAAAACACTATAATCAACCCAAGCGTTACATCACAACCACAAAACCACCGGTCATTGATAGCGGGCATTGCGTCAACAACACCACTCACACTTTACCAGCAAATACCCATGGCCCAACAACAAATACCCATAGCCCAACAGCAAATACCTATAGCCCAAAAGCAAATATCCATAGCCCAACAGCAAATAGCTATGCCCCAACAGCCAATACCCATGAGCCAACATCAAATACCCATGTCCCACACTTTCCCTACAGCTCAGTAACACCAGACCTCACAGCCTATAACAACATGCTAGTTAGGGTTGTGCGTGGGTTGGTTTGGGTCGGTTTTAGACCCAAAACCAACCCAACCCATAAATGGTTGGTTTCTGGTTTTCATAACCCAATAGGATCGGTTTATGTTCGGTTCAGTTTCTCGAGTTCTGAGGTCGGTTTGGGTGGTTTTTTGGTTTCTTGGGTTCAACCCATACACTCACGGGTTATGGGTTTAACCCATTTTCAATAAATGAAGCAATAAGTTAGATACTTCAAAAAATAACAAATTGAAGTTAAGTACATCAAAAAACATGAGTCTTACAACAACTAGTCCATTACAAGGTACAACTAAAGCCCGAAATAGTCTATTACAACCAAAACACAATCAAGTATGGGTGGTTTCTCGGGTTGGATGGGTCGGTTTCTTGGGGCGATTTGTCGGTTTTAAGTATGGGTCGGTTTCTCGGGTTGGATGGGTCGGTTTCGGGTTTAAAATCGAAACCGAACCCTATTTTTTGGTTTCTGAAAATATCAAACCCAAACCATTGGTTCTGCTTCGGTTTCGGTTTTTTCGGTTTCTGTTTCATCGGTTTTAGTTGGTTTCTCGATTTTTTGGTTTGGGTTTGCTCACCCCTAATGCTAGTACAACCATTTTTGGTAATGCAACATCTAGGGTATCACTTCACTCAGAGGACCCCAAACCAAGATTGCTTATCATGAGTGTCACATCATCATTCTTCAAAGAACTCCTGGAATACAAAATCCCTAACACTGCCAAACTGGCCCACCTTAAAACATACGATGGCACTACCGACCCAGATAGCAACATTGATACATACGAATGGACCATGACGTCCCTTAAGATAGATGAACGGTTCTGGTGCACATACTTCCCAACTACCTTAGATGGCAATGCAGGGACATGGTTTAAGACACTACGCCTAGGCAGCATCAGCCACTTTAGCCAGCTGAAGTACCTTTTTCTAACTAACTTCATACAACTCTGGAAGTACAAGGGTATTTGCCACTCAATCATTTGGTGTAAACAACAAGAGGGGGAGACAGTCAAGGACTATTTCACCAGGTTCACCAAAGCAACGATAGACGTCCCAGGGCATGATGAGGGGTTGATCACGGGAGCATTCACCTCGGGATTGTTACCAGGGTAGTTGTCCCAAAAACTCATGGGCAAGCAACCCCAAAAAAGGGTGGAACTAAAGGAGCGAGTAGAATGATTCCTATGCCAAGAAGAAGGTGAAGCGTCGAAGCAGGCATATCTCAATGCCATGACATCCTCCGCTGGAAAATGAAGCCACCACCCTACTCCCCATCATGATCCTCGGCGCGGAGGGGGGGGGGGTAGGTTTATGGGGTGAGATAGACAGTCGCAGGGGCGTTTCAGACCTTTCATTCAAGATGAGTGGCCGGGAAGACAAGCAGAAGTCTACATGGTCGATGAGAAACCGGCGGCAAAAGGCACTAAGATGCAATATTGTGAATACCACTAGAGCAGGACACATGACACAATCAACTGTTCAGTTCTAAAAAGGGAAATTGAGGAAATCAACTAAAGGGAAACGCGATAGAAATTGCCAAGAGCCTACGAGCCAAATTTAATGCAGAAAAACCCCAAAAGATGTTACTGGAAGGGCAGATCTTAGGTTAGAAATCCTTGCAATCCACCACAAAAGGGGGAGAGCAGAACACACAGTGGACACATGAAGCATCACAGAAGCAATTCAAGGGTTGACGTTCTCCATAAACAACCCAAGACCAATCGACTAGCACAGGGACAACCCCCTTGTCATCCAAGGATCCATTCGAGATGTCATCGTTCATCGAGTATACGTCTACACGGGAAGTTATGCAGACATCATCTATGAGCATTGTTTTCGGCTGCTACCAAACACATGGAAGGAAGGTCTGAGGCCAGCAGCAGGCCAACTCACATGATTCACAGGACACAACTTGTGGCCCTTAGGTACAATTCACTTACCGTTTACATTAACCAGCTAAGAGAAAACCAAGAAACGGACCACCCTGGTGGATTTTGTGGTCATATGACATCCATCAGAACACAATGTCATGTTGGGATGGACGAACCTACTAAAGTTTATAGAAATATCTCATCAACAATCCATAGGATAGTGAAATTCAGAACAAGCCGGGGACCGGGGACAATCCTAGCCACTCCCCCTAGGGACCTCAAATGCTATGAGCTCATGCAACCAAGAGACATCTCAGATGAAGCCAAGAGACCAAGGCTAAACTCGAAAAATAGGGGAGAGGTAATTAATAAGGAATACCTTGACCGACGAGTGAACGTGGGAATAGTTCTCCCTGCGGAAACGAGGCAAGCGTTGGTTCAGCTATTGTAGAAGTATAAACATGTGTTCGCCTGGACGCTCACAGACATGGTGGGGGTCGACCGAGGAATCATGGAGCACAAGCTAATGAGAAAACCATGAGCTAAGGAAATAAAGTAAAAGAAGTAAATCCAAAGAGGAGACCAAAACAAGGCAATCAACACAAAAGTGGCCAAATTGACCAGCGCAGGAATCCTTAGGGAAGCGATTTTCCCAACATGGATCACCAACCCGGTAATGGTGAAGAAACATGATGGTAGTTGAATGGAAAGCTAACGGTGCCCAACTGATTCATCTCCAAGTGAACCTAAAAATCCATTCCCCTGTTCCATTCACTCAAAGGGTGCATAGAAAAGAATAACTTCCAATGGAGAAAGACAGTCGCAGTGGCGTTTCAGACCTTTCATTCAAGATGAGTGGCCGGGAAGACAAGCAGAAGTCTACATGGTCGATGAGAAACCGGCGGCAAAAGGCACTAAGATGCAATATTGTGAATACCACTAAAGCAGGACACATGACACAATCAACTGTTCAGTTCTAAAAAGGGAAATTGAGGAAATCAACTGAAGAAAACGCGATAGAAATTGCCAAGAGCCTACGAGCCAAATTTAATGCAGAAAACCCCAAAGATCTTACTGGAAGGGCAGATCATAGGTTAGAAATCCTTGCAATCCACCACAAAAGGGGGAGAGCAGAACACACAATGGACACATGAAGCATCACAGAAGCAATCAACTAGCACAGGGACAACCCCCTTGTCATCCAAAGATCCATTCGAGATGTCATCGTTCATCGAGTATACGTCTACACGGGAAGTTATGAAGACATCATCTATGAGCATTGTTTCCGGCTGCTACCGAACATATGGAAGGAAGGTATGAGGCGAGCCGTAGGCCAACTCACATGATTCACAGGACACAGCTTGTGGCCCTTAGGTACAATTCACTTACCGTTTACATTAACCAGCTAAGAGAAAACCAAGAAACGGACCACCCTGGTGGATTTTGTGGTCATATGACATCCGTCAAAACACAATGTCACGTTGGGATGGACGAACCTACTAAAGTTTGTAGAAATATCTCATCAACAATCCATGGGATAGTGAAATTCAGAACAGGCCGGGGACCGGGGACAATCCTAGCCACTCCCCCAAGGGAGCTCAAATGCTATGAGATCATGCAACCAAGAGACATCTCAGTTGAAGCCAAGAGACCAAGGCCAAACTCGAAAAATAGGGGAGAGGTAATTAATAAGGAATACCTTAACCGGCGAGTGAACGTGGGAATGGTTCTCCCTGCGGAAACGAGGCAAGCGTTGGTTCAGCTATTGTAGAAGTATAAACATGTGTTCGCCTGGACGCCCACAGACATGGTGGGGGTCGACCGAGGAATCATGGAGCACAAGCTAATGATAAAACCATGAGCTAAGAAAATAAAGTAAAAGAAGTGAGTCCAAGGAGGAGACCAAAACAAGGCAATCAACACAAAAGTGTCCAAATTGACCAGCGCTGGAATCCTTAGGGAAGTGATTTTCCCAACATGGATCGCCAACCCGGTAATGGTGAAGAAACATGATGGTAGTTGAATGGAAAGCTAACAGTGCCCAACTGATTCATCTCCAAGTCAACCTAAAAATCCATTCCCCTGTTCCATTCACTCAAAGGGTGCATAGAAAAGAATAACTTCCAGTGGACACCAGAAGCCGAGTCCGCACTACACAAAATTAAAAAGGCGTTGCACACACTACCTACCCTGGCCAGCCTGATACTAGGGGAAACACTGCAGGTCTACCTTTTTGCATCAAAATATGCCATTTCGTCAGTGCTAGTAGTTAAGAGGAAAGGGAAGCAGCTCCCGATCTACTTTGTGAGTCGGGCCTTATAGGGGCCCGAAATCAACTATCCAATCATCGAAAAGTTGGTGCTCCCCTTAATCTACGTAGCATGGAGGCTCCGTCGGTACTTCTAGGCCCATCAGATAGAGGTGTTAACTAGCTTCCCGATCAAGCAAGTGCTCCTGAAGAGACTCACAAAATGGGTCGTAGATCTGGGGGAGCACGATATCAACAATCATCCCAATGTAAGCATCAAGGGATAGGAATTAGAAGATTTCCTGCTTGAAATCCTAGGGGAATTCCAGCAAGAAATAATTGGCACGACCCGACAAGGGTGTCAAAAGCTGACTAATAGT